CCTTTCTGGGTGCTGAAGGGAGAGGGGCTGTGAGGCCTGCAGGCTGTGAGGCGAGAGGCGATCCAAGGCCAGACCACCCCCATGTCCTGGGGTGGCCCCCTAGGGTTTCTTTTACTGTTCAGGGACGAGGGAGGGGAGGACGCTGGGAGGGGGCTGCCTCGGAGGCCTCACCATTAGTCCCTCTTCTACAGGCGGCAGACCTAGACCTCTAACCCTGGCAAACGGTCCAGTGCTCTGCGCCCAGAGTCTTTCCTTCTGCCATACTGCTTTTTTTCTCATTCAAAATAATTATACATGTTGCCATTTTGTGGTCCCTGCAGTTGCCCATGAGTTCCCTTCCCTGTCCGGACCCACACTGACCATGCAATCCTCCCTGTCTGTAGCCCCACAGCCAAGTGTCAGGTACCAGGTAGGGCATGTCCTGGCTCCTCTTCCTCTGCTCTGTCAAGTCTTCTCTTGCAGTCACATCCAAGCTCTCATGATCTTTGGCAGCGTGGAAATGTGGCAGGGATTAGAACCAGCTTGGATCTCAGCCACTTTCCCCACACACCTGTCTAGTTTGTCCAGTCACTCTTTGGAGAAGGCCCTAGTATGCACCCAATCCCCAAGACAGAAACCTGGCAGTCTTGAATCCTTTGGTTCCTTTACCCCTACATCCTTCTTCTAGTCTTGAACCCCTCCTTTCTGTGCCATGTGCAAACAGAGCTATCATAGTTAAGCACAACTGTGGTTGAACACAAACCTGCTGGCACTGTTCCCCTTTTGAAAACAGAATTAAATGACACCCCTCACTGCAATAGGCTATATGAAGGTGCCCCAAATATATCCATGTCTAATTCTCCAGAACCTGTAAATATGCAATGTTACATGGCAAAGGTAAATTAAGGTTGCCTTTACAGGCTCAGGGTGCGGGTGGCCGTCCTCCCCTCCTCTCAGAGCTCTTCCCTCAGCTTCCCACTGCCTTCCAAGGGCTCCAAATTGCAAAGATTGCTTATCGGCTGAATTTAAAGATTAAGGATACGCTGGGCTATCCTAGCCAATGTAACCTCAAAGGTACTTTAAATGTGGAAGAGCCAGGTAGAAGAGTCAGTGTCACAGTGAAGTAGCATGAGAAAGACTAGACAGGCTGACAGGCCATTGCTAGTTTTGAAGATTAAAGGAAGCCAGGGGTCAAGGAATGCAGGCAGCTCCCAGAATCTGGAAAAAGTGAGGAGACAGATTTCCCCTACAACCACTTGAAGGAATGAATCCCTGCCATCACCTTTATTTTATCGTATTTTACTTTATTGATTTCAGAGAGAGGAAGGGAGAGGGAGAGAGAGAAACATCAATGATGAGAGAGAGTCATCAATAGGCTGCCTCCTACACACCCCCTTCTGGGGATGGAGCCCACAACCTGGGCATGTGCCCTGAGCGGAATCGAACCACAACCTCCTGATTCACAGGTCGATGCTTAAGCACTGAGTCACACCAGCCAGGCTCACCTTTATTTTAGATCAGTGAGACCTTTTGATATTTCCAACCTCCAGAACTGTAAGATAATCAATTTTCATTATCTTAAGCCACCAAGGTTGATGTAATTTATACAGCTGTAGGAGAAACCACATTCACTGACCATCCTGATAAAGTCCATTCCCCTTGACTTTTCTTTAGTTGGGCTTCATCCCTGGAAGGATAAAGTCTGGGGCTCATCTCTCACCACTATAACCACCCTCTCCAAAAATCCCCTTCTCTGTTTTCTAAAGAAGAGAGATTTTTGCAAGGAGTTTTGAGGCTCATGTTGGAGAAAGTTCCTACTTGCTAAAAATCACTGATGTTTCCCAGGATAAAAAGGGAAGCATATTCCTGCCATGAAATTTCATGGCAGCTTTTATTTGTTTTTAGATATTTATTATAACTGTGCAATGTTTAGGTAAAGCAAAAAAACATATGGAGATGATTGTATATGGTATCTGGAGATAATGGATGTCAATTATCAGAGGACAGCCACTTTTACTGTGCAGTTTAAATGGCTTTAGCTGAATTGCAGATTTTTTTCTTTGCTCCACAGTATACTCTCTTGGGTGAATATTAGGCTTGAAGAAGAGAGTCTAAGTGAGGCAGGTTAGTAAGAAGCTAGGAAAATTTCTTGGCAAGTGGAATAGGGAAACTGAGACATACAGTTAAGTGGCCGAGCAATTTGAAGCCAGACAATAAATCACAAGGTCATATCTTCCCTAACCAAGGATACATAGGAGCAAATGGTTTACAAATTCCAGACTGTGTGGGGGCAGACCCACCTCAGTTCTGGTCCCTCTTCAGTGACATTCTTTGAAGGTAAAACTGACCAGAGAATGACCATGACCCCTCTATACCTCATTTTGATGATTCAGCATATTAAACGATACACTTGGAAAGCTGATGACTATTCTCTTGAGATCCTCTCTTGAGACTGCCCTTAAAATTTCAGCCTTTAGAAAACAGATGAAAACCTTTAAGTCAAAGGATCCAGTGCATGCTATCCCTAGAGCACGAATGCACCTTGCTCCCCTCCATTCTTTCCTCAGGTGTGTATCTTTGCTTTCTTTCTCCTAAACTCTAAGGGTTCCCAGAAGACTTGCAACCAGGTGAGCAGCAGGCAGTGGCAGCTTGTCCTGGGCTAACCTCGTGACCTGTCTCTAAGGGCCCTCCTTTGGCCCTCACCTTTCAGTGAGCCAAAAAAGCAGCTCCACCTAGGCTAATTCCTGTTGCTATGATCTTGCCTCTTCTACCTAGAGCCCTTCCTTTGTTTCACTGTACATTTAATAAATGTACTCTCAAAATCACCTGGACTTGCATTGTGAAATCTTTCCTGCACAAAGTGAAGAACCCACACTGTCAAGACCGTGCAGGGCAGAACAGCCTTGGTCCTTGTCCCTTTCCAGTGATATGACCACTGCTGGGATCCGTGGGTGTGTGTGAATCTCTTTGACTCTCTAAACTGCTCCTTCTCTTTCTTGAAGTTACTTGTGTCTTTCATTCAACAAGTATATATTGAGTACATACTTTGTTCTAGGCACTGGGGATGCAGTGTAAACAAAACAAAAAGTTTCCAGTTCTTATGGAGCTTACATTCACTTGTGGTTTCTATTTTATTTAATTTCCTAACTAAAAGTTTATAATCATACCGGCATAAGGTATCTGGTAATTCTCAAGGTGCTGGAATACTGATTCCAAGATACTTACTGACAGGGGAGTAGATCTGCAAAAAGTTGATTTTACTGTGAGACTTTGAAATATCTCTTGTATGACTTGTTCTCAGTTCATTTATAGAATAGGTGTTGCTGGTAGAAATAGGGCTATTCCACAGGGTTATGAGAAAAGCATTTTGGGGACCCACGTGTGGGAGGATGAGGTGTAGTGGTAAGATTTATTGGAGCTGGAGCAAACACAAAGTACTGTCCCCAGGTGCCCAGTGTCTCATCCACGGCCAGGTGGCTTAGCTCTGTCCAGCTGTGCAAGAAGTCCAGCACTGTCTTCACTGAGCCTAGAAAAAGGGCCAGAATCCAGAGATGATGTGCCATTACCTGGCATCAGCAGAGCATCCGAGGCTTTCGTAGTTCAGTGAAGACCATGCCAAAACTTAGTGCAGCTCAGTCTTTCTCCCCATCCGGCTAGCTTAGTCTCTGTTTCCAACTGCGCTCCAGCTAGCACGGTGCTGCCGTACCCAGGCCCGCGCTTGGAGCTGTGCAGCTGCTATGGAGAGAGAACACAGGCAAATGGGCCAACGAACTGGCAAACACGTGCTACCAAGAGGGGCCTTAGGTTTTTGATTATATTACCTCAGGCTTAGGAGAGAGAGGCTTTTCTTTTAAACTAATCAATCTTTTTCCTGGCTCTTCATGGGCTTGTGTTGGGTCCTCCTCCTATCCAATCCGGTCTTTATTCCCAGGTTTTCCAGGCCAGACTCTGCCTCTCTTTGTGGCCATCTTGGCTCCTACTACACATGCCTCAAAGTAGAAGGACCGCTCTCTGTGCCATCTTGGTTTCTACTGTGCATGCCTCAGTATAAGGACCTCCCCCTGTACCATTTTTGGGAACGGAGAGGTGGTTCCCTTGGGAGACTAGAAAGCTAGTCCTTCCTCCCTACAGGTGGGGGTGGTGGTGATGCGGAGAGATGTTAATCCCCTTGGCAGGGATTCAGCTATCCTTTGGGGTGTCTGAAGCTGTAACTTCCAGATCTAAGCCTCATTAAGTATAACTTCCAGATTTAATCAGGCCCAGCTAGTCTAGCTCCCTTCTCTTTTGTGAACTCCCAGCTGCCTATGCTAACACAGGCACAGTATGCCAATTAACATTTATTGAACTGAGGAAAGTCCTATTTTAAGCCTTTGTGTTAGCTCTTTATGTGTATATACCAGATAGGTTAAGTGTCATCTTTAAAATCAGAGAGCAAAGAAAAGATCGAAATAAGATGCTAGTGACTTATGTCTGTTTGACTGCTAATTAATATTATATTTAGTTCTTCCTAAAAATGGATTCGTCTGATTGCAACAGATGGTGTTCCACTGCTCATTGTCTCCACTAGCAGTTGTGTAAACCTGACTAGTCTCTGACACTTAAATTTCTTTAGTCTAAGTACCTGACATTAAACTTCTGATTGCCAAGGCATTCATTCCAAAAGACATCCATCTTTTTTTTTTTTTAAATTTAAAATATGTCTTTATTAATTTCAGCGAGAAGAAAGGAGAGAGAGGGAAAGAGAGACAGAAACATCAATGATGAGAGTCATTGATTGGCTGCCTCCTGCACGCCCCCTGCTGGGGATGGAGCCCAAAACTCGGGCATGTGCCCTGACCCAGAATCAAACCCCGACCTCCTGGATTCTAGGTCGATGATCAACCGCTGAGCCATGCCCGGCCGGGCAAAAGATATCTATCTTGTATGACACAGCTACTAGGAAAACAAATGGATAAAGAACTAGGCCACCCCCACCTATGAAGTTCTTTTTCAGAAAGCCCTGGGTAACTGAGCCCTTGAAAGACCCCACTTTATCCTTTCCACACCATACTTCCTGCTCTTACACTTTATTTATTTTTTTACTCCTCACCAGAGGATATGTTTTTATTGATTCTAGAGAGAGAGGAGGGGAGAAGGAGAGAGCAAGAGACACTGATGCAAAAGAAAAACATTGATCGGCTGCCTCCCATATGCACCCCGACGGGATTAAACCCACAATCTAAGTATGTGCCCTGACCATGAATGGAACCCTCAACCTTCTGGTGTATGGGATTATGCTCTAACCAACTGAGCCACCTAGCCAGGTCCCTGCTCTTATACTTTAAGTTAGCCAATAAAGAGTGAACCTGTGGAATCCTAAGCTCCCCACTCTTGGATCCTAATAAAAGCAGAGCCCCAGGTTTGTTGTGTGCCCCCTCACCTGCCCCCAGGCATTCCTAACTGAGGGAGCTACCATCAATAGGCTCAAGGGCTATGGAGGAATTTCAGAACCAAATATATATACACACNGCTCCAGCTAGCACGGTGCTGCCGTACCCAGGCCCGCGCTTGGAGCTGTGCAGCTGCTATGGAGAGAGAACACAGGCAAATGGGCCAACGAACTGGCAAACACGTGCTACCAAGAGGGGCCTTAGGTTTTTGATTATATTACCTCAGGCTTAGGAGAGAGAGGCTTTTCTTTTAAACTAATCAATCTTTTTCCTGGCTCTTCATGGGCTTGTGTTGGGTCCTCCTCCTATCCAATCCGGTCTTTATTCCCAGGTTTTCCAGGCCAGACTCTGCCTCTCTTTGTGGCCATCTTGGCTCCTACTACACATGCCTCAAAGTAGAAGGACCGCTCTCTGTGCCATCTTGGTTTCTACTGTGCATGCCTCAGTATAAGGACCTCCCCCTGTACCATTTTTGGGAACGGAGAGGTGGTTCCCTTGGGAGACTAGAAAGCTAGTCCTTCCTCCCTACAGGTGGGGGTGGTGGTGATGCGGAGAGATGTTAATCCCCTTGGCAGGGATTCAGCTATCCTTTGGGGTGTCTGAAGCTGTAACTTCCAGATCTAAGCCTCATTAAGTATAACTTCCAGATTTAATCAGGCCCAGCTAGTCTAGCTCCCTTCTCTTTTGTGAACTCCCAGCTGCCTATGCTAACACAGGCACAGTATGCCAATTAACATTTATTGAACTGAGGAAAGTCCTATTTTAAGCCTTTGTGTTAGCTCTTTATGTGTATATACCAGATAGGTTAAGTGTCATCTTTAAAATCAGAGAGCAAAGAAAAGATCGAAATAAGATGCTAGTGACTTATGTCTGTTTGACTGCTAATTAATATTATATTTAGTTCTTCCTAAAAATGGATTCGTCTGATTGCAACAGATGGTGTTCCACTGCTCATTGTCTCCACTAGCAGTTGTGTAAACCTGACTAGTCTCTGACACTTAAATTTCTTTAGTCTAAGTACCTGACATTAAACTTCTGATTGCCAAGGCATTCATTCCAAAAGACATCCATCTTTTTTTTTTTTTAAATTTAAAATATGTCTTTATTAATTTCAGCGAGAAGAAAGGAGAGAGAGGGAAAGAGAGACAGAAACATCAATGATGAGAGTCATTGATTGGCTGCCTCCTGCACGCCCCCTGCTGGGGATGGAGCCCAAAACTCGGGCATGTGCCCTGACCCAGAATCAAACCCCGACCTCCTGGATTCTAGGTCGATGATCAACCGCTGAGCCATGCCCGGCCGGGCAAAAGATATCTATCTTGTATGACACAGCTACTAGGAAAACAAATGGATAAAGAACTAGGCCACCCCCACCTATGAAGTTCTTTTTCAGAAAGCCCTGGGTAACTGAGCCCTTGAAAGACCCCACTTTATCCTTTCCACACCATACTTCCTGCTCTTACACTTTATTTATTTTTTTACTCCTCACCAGAGGATATGTTTTTATTGATTCTAGAGAGAGAGGAGGGGAGAAGGAGAGAGCAAGAGACACTGATGCAAAAGAAAAACATTGATCGGCTGCCTCCCATATGCACCCCGACGGGATTAAACCCACAATCTAAGTATGTGCCCTGACCATGAATGGAACCCTCAACCTTCTGGTGTATGGGATTATGCTCTAACCAACTGAGCCACCTAGCCAGGTCCCTGCTCTTATACTTTAAGTTAGCCAATAAAGAGTGAACCTGTGGAATCCTAAGCTCCCCACTCTTGGATCCTAATAAAAGCAGAGCCCCAGGTTTGTTGTGTGCCCCCTCACCTGCCCCCAGGCATTCCTAACTGAGGGAGCTACCATCAATAGGCTCAAGGGCTATGGAGGAATTTCAGAACCAAATATATATACACACATATATATATTTTAATATATCTTTATTGATTTCAGAGAGAGGAAAGGAGAGGGAGAGAGAGAGGTAGAAACATCAATGATGAGAGAGTCATTGATCAAGCCCGCAACCTGGGCATGTGCCCTGACTGGGAATCGAACCCCGATCGCCTGGATCCCAGGCCGACGCTCAACGGCTGAGCCACGCCCGGCCGGGCCAGAACCAAATATTCTCCCAAGCTTAAGCCCAGGATACAGAAGTAGTTGTGCTGCTTCATCATACCTACAGCTCTGCCCCCACCCCACCCCCACCTCCCACACCCATGCAAGTGAACTTTCACACTAGAATATCCCTTGCCTGTGCAGCTCAAATAATCTCTTGCCTCTCTCAAGCATCATGGTTATGGACCTGTTCATGCCCACTTAGTTTAACTTGCTTCTCTTCTCTCCTTCATGTGCCTCAGGCAAACTTTTCTTCTAGGATCTCCCTTTTGTCCAAGTTTGAGCAAACCCAGTTCATTCTTAGAATGTGTCCATTCTCCTATCCCTTATTTTCAAGAGCTTTACACAGGAACTCAAGTCCCTTGCAGCTGGGACCAAGCAGACTAGGTTGAGTTCTTGATAATATTGGCTCAACAGATGTGTACTTTCAGTAGAGGCAGAACAGCTTTTAGAAAATATCTCAACCTGTATCTACTACTTGAGACAAGGCACATCTGGAGAACTGGTGGGAAGACTTGACCCAAGAATATTTTCAGGTCACGTTTGGGATGGGTTCTGCTTTAAGAGAATTTATCCTGAGGGAAAACAGAACCAGGCACAATGACCTCGGCCCAGGAACACTGCCTTGTCATCAGGGGAGTATAGCTATTCTAATGGCAGCACTGGGATTAGAACTCCTATTTTTTTTCTGTTCTAACATATGCCCTCAACTGTATGTCTGTCATAACAAAGGCAGGTTCATAAGTTATCCCAGAAATCACTTTTAAAATAAACTCTTATACTCTGGTGTGCAGATCCCATCTATAAAGTGCAACCTAAAGAGAGGAAAACACCCTCCTTTCTAACATGGCTTTAAAATGTAGACTAGTATTCAGCTCTGACATCATGAGGACTCTAGATATGGGGAGTGGTTGGGAAAATTAGAGGGAGTCGTTGGAAGGACTTAAGTGACAGTAAAGCTTAGTGTGGCAATGACACCTGGAAAAATCATGTGAAAGCCACTGAAATTCAGAATATGGAAAATACCCCTTGAGGATTGCTAGATTCAAAGGGGCTGATGAAGTGAGGTTATTAGATTTGCAGGGAGAAGAAATCCTGAATTTCCACAATGCCTGCAAATACTGACATTTAACTGAATGTCAAATTACTTTTCAAAATAGAAAAAAATGAGAAGTCCATAATACCTTTTGTTATGTTTA